TGATTCACACTTTCAAAAAATCCCTCTGGCCAGCTGCGATGGCTCACACCTGTAATCCAGCACTTTGGGAGGCTGAGGTGGGAGGATCACTTGAGCTCAGGAGTTCAAGATCAGCCTGGCCAACATGGTGAAATCCCATCTCTACGAAAAATACAAAAAATTAGCCGGGCGTGGTGTCATGTACTGGTAGTCCCAGCTACTCGGGAGGCTGAGGCACGAGAATCTCTTGAATTTGGGAGGCGGAGGTTGCAGTGAGCTAAAGATTGGGGGTTTAAGCATCACTGGTGTGTAGACAGTATTTAAAATCCTGGGCCCTGATGAGATCTGCTAGGGAGGGGTGCACCCAGAACAGAGAATGGAGTCCAAGATCAATTCCTGGGGTGCCCCTGCATTTAGGTGTCGGGTAGCAAAGGAGTCTGAGAAGGAACAACTAGTGACCTAAGAGGAAAATCCAAGTTTCGTGAAGGCACAGAAGCAAGTGATGGAAGAGCTTTATGAAGAGGCAATGGTCCATGTTGTGGGATGCTACTGAAAGATGAAATAAGGACAGAGAAGAGAACTTTCGATTTAGCAACAAACCGGGGCCATGTGGAGAGCAGTCTCAGGGGAGTGGAACAGGGCGCAGCTGGAATGTGGAGAGGACGCGAGGTGAGGAAAGCAGAGGGGGTAGTGTAGGATTATGAAGGATCGCTATTACCCTTGCGGAAAAGGCCGCCTAAACCTTTGGCAGTCCGTGTATTAGCTGAACAGATCTACTCTGCTTCCTCCATGACCTATGCAAAGTATAGCTACAGAGCAATGCAACTGAGCCTAGAGAATGGTTTACAAAATAGTCTTCATCTTACCGTTACATCCCCTACACATGTAGACATAGCATGCCTGTCAGTGGTCCTCCACATGCATGGAAATAGTGTCTGGCAATGACCCCACACATGTGTACACAGAACATGTCTGCCAGGGGTGCTACCTGCATGTAGACAGTATGTCTGCCAGTCTACATGTGTGTAGACATAGCATGTCTGTCAACACTTTCAGAGCAACAGCTCTCAAGCATCCCTGATTCCAGCCCACATATTCCAGGCAAAAGAGTCATCTGAGACCACTTATCCCCACTACCCACTTTCCAGTAGGAAAATGAACTCTGCGGTAACTATAAAGTATCACAGTTAGACCAGGCGCAGTGGCTCACACCTGTAATCTCAGCACTTTGCAAGGCCAAGGTGGGTGGATCACCTGAGGTGAGGAGTTTGAGACCAGCCTGGCCAACATGGTGAAACTCCATCTCTAATAAAAATACAAAAAAAATTAGCCGGGCCTGGTAGTGGGCGCCTGTAGTCCCAGCTACTCAGGAGGCAGAGGCAGGAGAATCGCTTGAACCCAGGAGGCGGAGGTTGCAGTGAGCCAAAAACACAAATAGATGAGATATATACATATATGTTTTAGCCAAAGGTCTGTGAATGATTCATTCTGAACTACAATTCATATACGTCTAATTATTTGAAAACTGTAAGCTAAAAACACTATGGATGCATGCATGCCTCATTCACTATAAATAGCAGAATTAACCAAACAACAAACTAACTTGATAATAATAATTTTAAACTAACAGTTTAAAATTAGAAACTTAGAAGTTAACTTAGAAATTAACTTAGAAATTAAAATGTGGTAAAAGTGGCATTTGAAAACCAAGACTGATTGAAAACAAAGATGGCAGGCATCCCAACTGCGAGCGGGCATGGTCTGTCGCTCTGGAAGGATGCTGGATGTTGAAGAGCAAAAAAAACTTCTTAGGAATCATCAGTCAGTCAGCTCTGGTAAAGATGTCAACTTTAGGGATCTGTAGCAAGGCCACTAAATAGGATGCCAGCGAGTAGTCATTACTATATGCACAAAATAAAAGTGTATGGAATTGCACGTTAGTCACAAGAAGCAAAATCTCAGCTTGCATTTAGGACAGTCAATGGCCACCAGGAAGGAGTTGATGTAGCTCCTAGCACAGAACAACCACACTCATGCATTTCACTTTACAGTCATGCTGCTCCACCAGACTGGAGGCCACCTCCAGCACAGTGAGACAGTGTGGTCTGGAGGCCTAGGTAACAGAGATTCTTACATAGGTAACCCACTCGTCAAAAAATTCCCCAGGGCCAGGCGCTGTGGCTCACACCTGTAATCCCAGCACTTTGGGAGGCTGAGGCAGGTAGATGACCTCAAGTCAGGAGTTCAAGACCAGCCTAGTCAACATGGTGAAACACCATCTCTATTAAAAATATTTTTAAAATTTAGCCAGGCGCCTGTAATCCCAGCTACTTGGGAGGCTGAGACAGGAGAACAGCTTGATCCCAGGAGGTGGAGGTTGCAGTGAGCCAAGACCGTACCACTGCACTCCAGCCTGGGCAACAAGAACGAAACTCCATCTCAAAAAAATAAAAAAAAAAAAACTACCCCAGGCTGAGCATGTTGGCTCACGCCTATAATCCTAGCATTTTTGGAGGCCAAGGCAGGAGGACTGCTTGAGCCCAGGAGTTCAAGACCAGCCTGTGCAACACAGTGAGATTCCCCAACCCCAGGCATAGTGGCACACACTTATGGTCTCGCTACTGGGGAGGCTGAGGTGGGAGGATCATTTGGGCCCAGGAGGTCGAGGCTGCCGTGAGCCGTGTGATCTCACCACTGTACTCCAGCCTGGATGACAGAGCAAGACCCTGTCTCAAAAAAAAAAAAAAAAAAAGAAAAGAAACAGAAAAACACTCCACAAACGGGGTTTGTTCAGCCTACAGTGTTGGACTACAATGTGTTTGGAAATATATCTGAATTAGTAAGAATATTTACAAATTGGAAGACTTTACATTTAAAAAAATAAAAGTTTGCTGGCTTCTCAAAGACAAAGAAAGAGAGAGGCCTGGCCAAGGCCCAGTTGCCTTCAGTTACGGCATCAGGGAGCTCCTGTTCCCACCCTCCAGAAACTGTCACACACACTGTGTCAAATGTCAGCTGTCATTTATCTTTATATGTGAACCTATGCCATTATTCTTCTTAAATGTGGCCTGTTTCATTCACTTATGCTACCTTCTCACTCTCAGTATCATTTGAGTTTGCAACTTCTGTCCTATGGGGTGTGTGAAACGGTCCATCAAGGTCTGACCTGAGGGAAGAGATGACAAGATTCCAAACTCCCACAAACTCAACTGAAGATGTTAGCTGCTGATTTTCTCCACTGAAAAACAGATACAGCAAACTTTCTCCCCAGCTGCTTTCTAAGCAGTAATCTCAGTAGTTACTAAGAATCACAGAACTTCTGTTTCTCTTAACAACCAGTGAAAAGCTTATTAGGGAATGTTGATCATTCACAAATTAATGTTTTAATTAAAAGATCAAATATATACCCATTAATCAGTTTTGAACAGTTGGAACATAGGTTTAGGACAGCAGAGGGAACTACATTTCAAAAGAAAAAAAAACTGCCCTCTACACAGAATTTAAAAAAAAAAAAAAGTATTTTCATATATGTATAGCTACCACAAAAGCTTTTAACTATATAATTACTACTAAAGATGTCCATAAGATAGAATTTATACAACCTCCCCCAATGTCTAACTTATTTAACTCCTTAAACTACTTTTCGGTGAAACAAATTTTTCTAAACTTTTAGAAGTAAGCCAAATCAGTAACTAAAGTACTGCTTACTACTGACTGACTAGAGTTACCAGAAGTGTAATCTTTATTTATTTATGTATTTATTTTTGAGACAGACTCTCATTCTGTCTCCTAGGCTAGAGTGCAATGGCACGATCTCAGCTCACTGTAACCCCTGCCTCCCAGGTTTAAGCGATTTTCCAGCCTCAGCTTCTCAAGTAGCTGGAATTACAGGCAGCTGCCACCAAGCCCGGCTAATTTTGGTATTTTTAGTAGAGACAGGGTTTCACCATGTTGGCCAGGCTGGTCTCAAACTCCTGACCTCAGGTGATCTACCCGCCTTGGCCTCCCAAAGTGCTGGGATTACAGGTGTGAGCCACCGTGCCCAGCCCAGAAGTGTAATCTTATATATGTTCATCATCAGATATTAAAAAACAATAATATTCCATAAACATATACATAAGCCTAAAGGAAATCAAACCTTGTAACACCAACTTCCTCTTTTATACCACTGAAACGTGCAAATAAATAAAAGCAGCCTGGAGGGAGAACATAACTTACAAAAAGACAAATTATAAGTGTGCATACATGAGAAGCAGTACCACCCTTTTGCTTTTGAGACCAGGAAGTAGATGGTGTCTTATGAAGGACAAATTCAACAAAATTTAGCTGTTTTCTTTCCTACCAGCTACTTGTGAATCACTCTCCACACTCCAACACATGAGGACAACCTGAAACCTGCACTCAATGCCTCATACCCTAACTCACGATTAAAGAAATCCTGTCTCCAAGTTACAGCAACAGGACCCTACATAAAAGGAGGAAAGTCTAGCTTCAAGACAAATTGTTGAGAAGACTAGAATGAAGTTCACTGTAACTTTAAAATAACTTTGCACTAATTTGTTACTAGTTGAACATTTTCCAGTAATCTCGTTTCCTAGCATAGTATATCAGACTTCTGCACTTCACCCAGCTTGGAAATTTTACAAAGTAGACTAATTATGTGGGTATAAGCATTATATCGCACGTTGCCCTTCCTCTAAGTGTTAACAGAACAAAGTAGTATGCCGAAGAGCATGTAAATACTCGCAATGCTGTATTTCAAATTTGCTTAACTTTTATTATCTGAATCAGAACTTAGTTGGAATTGAATTAACACTACCCAGTGAATAACGACTAATCAAAACAGCCTTTCCCATTTTCAGCCAAAAACTGCAGTCTGAAATGGCTTTTGCTTTCTAATTGACTTACAGCGTGTGGCTGGGGGAAAATGTCGGCGTTTTCCCAAGGACACTTTTCAGGCTGTAAACTTTCTTTGTTGGAGAAACTACCAAGTTCAAGGGGTGCCTTCAGAATCCACTTACCCGATCCTTCATCCTCCAGCTCTGAGCTAAGGATTTGGAGCCTTCAATTTTCTCACAGTGCCTCTTTTTCATAAAAGCCAAAGGTAGGTTCCAGTCTGTAAGATCAGCCTCATCTTCCTCCCCCAGGCCCAGAAGAGGCGACTGCAGCATTTCGGACTCCATCAGTGGGGGAGGGGGTGGGGGAGTCCTTGGCAGCAAGCGCTCAAGAACCTCCAGCCTTAAAAACTAGCGTGTACCAGAATTGGTGAAATAAGTAACAGAAAAACGGGAAATCGAAAAACAAATGGATGGAGAGTGCAGAGACCCCTACTCAGGCAAAAAGTCTGAGATCCTTATCGCTAACTCTGGGCGGGAAGTGGGGAGGTGGGGGCCGCTAGGAAATGGGGCAGCCCAAGAAGCTCCGCAGACACACCAGCCCAAGTCTCAAGCCACTGGCTGCTCCTGGGGCTGCACGTTTCCAGAGGGGCTGCAAGCGGAGCTGTCAAAAGCGTAAGAGACTTCAGGCCTCACGATGACCCTGCTCTCGGCCTCCAACGCCTCAGCAGTTCCGAGGACAGGCAGGCCGCTCTTGGTGCCGGTTCGCCCACTGGGCCGAGGTCTCCAGCCAAGGGATCGGGTTCAAAGGGCCCAGGGTCTCCTCCAGCCACTCTCAGCCCTGCGGGTCCCGCACTCGTCTGAGCTGCCGCAACCAGAGCCAGGACCGGCCCATCGTGCTCGCCCGCACCCGGTTCCTCAACCTCAGGTCCGCGCGGCCTGGCTGGTCCTGGCTTTCAGCCCCGAGGCTCTCCCCTGCCTGAGAACGAGTCCTGAGAAACGGGCGACACGGAACCACGGAGAAAACGGACAATGAGGGCTTACTGGGTCAGGGGAGCTTTGCCCTCTGGTTTGGAGCTACAGGGAAACTCATCTCATCAGCACATCAAGGAGGACGCCATATTGCCAGGACCCAGAATGCACCGCGGCCTACGGCGTGGCCGACAGACCAAACCTCCTCAGAGCGTTCTCGCCGCGCCACCCAACAAGTAGCGAAGGAAAGGGAGTCCCTGACCCCATTACCTCGGTTACCGTAATTCCGTTTTACCCAGTTAATCGCCATTTGTTCAGTAGAGGCGTGTTATTAAAGTCAGTCATACAAATGAAACTGTCGGTTTAATTTATTTTTCAAAAACATTGTTGTTATAAATGAAGCTACATGCTCCTGAAATTAGAGGAATCAACCGCCTTGTTTCCTCCAGATTTTGAAAAAGCGGCAAAAGCTTCAGGAAAACACACTGATAATATTAGAAAATATAGTACTTTTTTTTTTTTTAATGTAGTGTCTTCCACAGAGTCAATCAGATTTTCTCTTTTTCATAGAAAACCAAGTGAAAGGCTGGGCGCAGTGGCTCACGCCTGTAATCCCAACACTTTGGGAGGCTGAGGCGAGCACCTCACAAGGTCAAGTGATCGAGACCAGCCTGGCCAACATGGTGAAACCCCCGTCTCTACTAAAAATACAAAAATTATCTGTGCGTGGTGGCACACACCTGTAGTCCCACCTACTCGAGAGGCTGAGGCAGGAGAATCGCTTGAACCGGGGAGGCAGAGGTTGCAGTGAGCTAAGATCAGGCCACTGCACTCCAGCCTGGGAGACTGCGCAAGACTCTTCAGAGGAAGAAGAGTCCGAAGCAAGATTCGATGAAAAAAAAAATTCATCGAATACAATTCTTTGTTTAATCTGTTTCGTTTGCTGAGCAGTTTATCCTTTTTAAATTTCTTTTCTCCTGTCTCAGCCTCGCGCACCACCACGCCCGGCTAATTTTTTGTATTTTTAGTAGAGACGGGGTTTCACCGTGTCAGCCAGGATGGTCTCGATCTCCTGATCTCGTGATCCGCCCACCTCAGCCTCCCAAAGTGCTGGGATTACAGGCGGATCACGAGGTCAGGAGATCGAGACCATCCTGGCTAATACGGTGAAACCCCGTGTCTACTAAAAAATACAAAAAATTAGCCAGATGCGGTGGTGGGCACCCAGGAGGCAGAGCTTGCAGTGAGCCGAGATTGCGCCACTGCACTCCAGCCTGGGCGACAGAGCGAGATTCTGTCTCAAAAAAGAAAGAAAGAAAAGAAAGAAATTCTAAGTGAGCACGTTGAAGTCCAAACCCACCAGGTGGTCAGAATCGCCCAGGAAACTAAAAATCAGGATGCCCAGCTTCCGCCCCAGACCCCCAGATCCGGGAGCAGGGAGACTGGGATTCAGAATCTGCACTTTTTTTTTTTTTTTTTTTTTGAAGTTTTTACAGTTTTATTTAAACACCAAACACGCACATGTGTCTACTCATTTTCTTCGCTGCGCAGCCTGGCATGGGGGACAGTGACTCTGACAGCCAGCTGGGCAGCTCTTTCCACGATGGCTTCGCGGTTCCTGGAGGAACGCTGTGAGCGATCTCAGCACAGTAAGATTTGTTGCACATCAGCAGCAAGCTCCTTGACGTTGTAGACCGTGAGCTTCCGGAAGCCAGTGGGCAGCATGGGCTTTGTTTTTTTGTTGCTCCCATAACCAATGTTGGACATCAAGATCTGACCCTCAGCCAGGCACAGTGGCTCACACCTGTAATCCCAACACTTTGGGAGGCTGAGGCAGGTGGATCATGAGTTTAGGAGATCTAGACCATCCTGGCTAACACAGTGAAACCTATCTCTACTAAAAATACAAAAAATTAGCCGGGCGTGGTGGTGGGTGCCTATAGTCCCAGCTACTTGGGAGGCTGAGGCAGGACTCTTTGCCAGGCTGGTCTTGGACTCTTGACCTCAGGTGATCCACCTGCCTCAGCCTCCCAAAGTGCTAGGATTACAGGCATGAGTCACCACACCTGGCCTCAACAACAACAACAACAACAAAAATGTTTAACTTAGCCAGGCATGATGACATGCGTCTGTAGTACCAACCACTCAGGAGGCTGAGGTAGGAGGATCACTTGAGCCCAGGAGTTTGAGGCTGCAGTGAGCTGAGATTGCACCACTGCACTCCAGCCTGGGCAATCAAGCAAGACTCTGTCTCAAAAAAAAAGAAAGGGCAGAATAACCCTTGGCCTGCCTGAACAGAGTGGGAGCACCTTGTCCTATAATGTAAAGGTGGAGACCAGATGACTCCCTCTAGCCCTAAAACTTGGACTGTTTGACAAATAGAATTACAGATACAGCAAAGTGAGCAAGAGAACAAATATAAAAACCTGAGTGTTGGGGGCAAATATGACAGAAGGTAGGAGTGAATGCAGGGAGAAATGCAGGGGAAATGGGAGTAGGGGTTGCATAAATGGCTCAGATATATAGCCTTTGCCAGGAAGAACTAAGGCAGCTGGATATTCAGTCTCTGAGTTCAGCATTGACCCACTGCAACTGACCTAATCTTTTCTCAAAACAGAACACCATCACAGCTGAGGCATTCCATTTGCAGGCAGAATGGGCTGCGTTCCATCCTGCAACATTGCCGCTTCTCTGCTAAATCAATCAAGGGCATTGAATGTGTTTTGTCATCAAGAATCAGGAGCAAGACCGGAGGTCAGGGAACTTGAGAAAACCAGGTGCTTCGCTGAGTTGTTGTTTTCCACGCAGGGAGAACAGCCAACTCCGGTCCTTTCCAGAAAAATCTATGCTTAGCTTAAAGGAAACCAAAATAGACATGAAAAATGTTGCTATTGTCTGAGCATCATGACTCTGTTTTTAGTAAAACCCAAGTCACTCCCCTCTGCAGGTCAGATGTTTTGTTGACAGTGAAGTGAGAAGAGGAAGGAAAAGGAGGTAACAGGGCCGCAGCATCACCTTCAGCTGGGAATGTGAGGCTGCCAGGAAACCAGCAAGTCTGTCTCCCCCTCTCCACCCGTCTAAAAATATGGTGGTATTTATGCATGTGATTTTCACCTTCTACAGCACACCTTTCTATTTTATTCATGATTTTTTAAAATAATAAGCATGTAGATCGATTAGCAGAAACGAAGTTATTCCCATTTTTAAGAGGGTCCCTGGGTAGCATAGGGACTGTGGTGAAAAGTGCCTCTTACTGAATAAACTTCACCCACTGTCCACATTTCTTCCTTCAGAAGTGAGGATTTTTGCATAGCCCCAGCCTTAAAAAGCCAGCCAAGGAAAACACGGCAAAGATAGAGCCGAGAAGGAAATGCATCAGGGAAGGGACTGCCTGAGAGCCCATCACAGAGCTGGGACCTGCACCCTAGCTTCTCCTTCCCACCCTGGGCTGTTTTGCAAAGGGCAGTGAAGAGCCTCTCTGGGACACCTGGGATGTAGAGCAAGACAAGGGCAAAGCAGCTGGGAGAGCAGGTGTCCAGGCCCAGTCCCCGCTGGGTGGCCTTCCAGCCCGGGCGCCCTGACCGATGAGTCTGGATGGACTCGGGGAGCCATCTGCAAGGCTTGACAGCATCAGACGCTGCTGTCTATGACCCTGTGGATTCTTTGTGGAGAAGGGATGAAGGTCAGTGTCCATTCAAGGTCAAAAATCCCATTATTGGGAGTCCCCTCCTTCCTCCCCCAGATCCTAAAGATGGAATCACAAAGATGTGGTCTGTACCTATACAGATTTTAAAAGAAAAAAGGGGCTGGGTGCAGTGGCTCATGCCTGTAATCTCAGCACTTTGTAAGGTCGAGGCAGGCAGATCACCTGAGGTGGGGAGTTCAAGACCAGTCTGGCCAACATGACGAAACTCCGTCTCTATTTTAAAAATGCAAAAAATTAGCTGGATGTGGTGGTGCATGCATGTAATCCCAGCTACTTGGGAGGCTGAGGCATGAGAATCGCTTAAATACAGGAGGTAGAGGCTGCAATGAGCCGAGATCACGCCACTGCACTCCAGCCTAAGTGACAGAGTGAGACCCTATCTCAAAAAAGAATAAAAAAGAAAAAGAAAAATGGGGTGGGGGAGGAAAGCTTATATGATTGAGACTATATTGAGAAAATGTATTATCCAGTAAATAATATGCAAACTGGACGGGCACAGTGACTCATGCCTGGAATCCCAGAACTTTGGGATGCCAAGGCGGGCAGATCACCTGAGGTCAGGAGTTCCAGACCAGCCTGACCAATATGATGAAACCCCGTCTCTACTAGAAATACAAAAATTAGCCAGGTGCGGTGGCATGCACCTGTAATCCCAGCTACTCGGGAGGCTGAGACAGGAGAATCACTTGAAACCAGGCGGCGGAGGTTGCAGTGAGCTGAGATCGCGCCATTGCACTCCAGCCCGGGCAATAAGAGCGAAACTCCATCTCAAAAATAATAATAATAGGACGGGCACAGTGGCTCACGCCTGCAATCCCAACACTTTGGGAGGCCGAGGCAGGTGGATCACGAGGTCAGGAGATTGAGACCATCCTGGCGAACACTGTGAAACCCCATCTCTACTAAAAATACAAAAAAATTAGCCAGGTGTGGTGGCAGGCGCCTATAGTCCCAGCTACTCAGGAGGCTGAGGCAGGAGAATGACGTGAACCCGGGAGGCAGAGCTTGCAGCGAGCAGAGATCACACCACTGCACTCCAGCTTGGGCGACAGAGCGAGACTCCGTCTCAAAAAAATAAAAATAGGCCGGGCGCGGTGGCTCACACCTGTAATCCCAGCACTTTGTGAGGCCGAGGCGGGTGGATCACGAGGTCAGGAGATCGAGACCATCCTGGCTAACACGGTGAAACCCCGTCTCTACTAAAAATACAAAAAATTAGCCGGGCGTGGTGGCGGGCACCTGTAGTCCCAGCTACTGGTCCCAGCCAGAATAGTCTTGATCTCCTGACCTCATGATCCGCCCACCTCGGCCTCCCAGAGTGCTGGGATTACAGGTGTGAGCCACCGCACCAGGCCCATGCCTGGCTAATTTTGTAGAGACAGGGTTTCACCATGTTGCACAGGCTGGTCTCGAACCCCTGAGCTCAAACAATACACCTGCCTCGGCCTCTTAAAGTGCTGGGATTACAGGC